TTTATGTACAGTGCCCTGAGACAACGTATGTTGTGACTTGGAGCTATATAAATAAACTGAATTGAATTGAATCATGTCCTGGMTGACCGAGAACTGACACCAACATTTTCAACGGCACGATGGCTCAGTGGTTAGCACTGATGCCTCACAGCAAGAAGATCCAGGGTTCGATCCCCGGTTTGGACCTGAGGTCTGTCTGTGCAGAGTTTGCTTGTTCTCCTTGTGCTTGAGTGGGTTTTCTCCGAGCACTCCGGTTTCCCCCACAACATAAAAATATGTACAATAGGTTGCCTTCAGGCCGAGGCCGCCCTTGGATTTGCCTGGTAAAATAACGGTAAATATCAATACCGGCATGACATGATGCATATTTGAGTCTGTTTCTATTTCTGCTCCTGAGTTGGCAGCAAGATCAAACAGAAACATTGAATGAAACAATCACAGCRGATAATTTAGTCGGCTCTGATTAGACAACTTCAGAGTCAAACCACACATGCTAACACGTGTAGCATCCATGTTTACTGCTGACAAGACGAGCTCATAAAAACACGTCTTAAAACCTCTACCAAAGCTTTTCATCATTTCCAGCTAAAAGTAAAGCGACCTCCAGCTGACCTTTAGGTTTTACCTGAGACGGATCGTAAAACTGAGCAGCACTAAGTGAAAACATTAAGAAACGCCTCATCAGAGCAGCACAAATTACCTCTGTCCAGAGTGCAAAAACTTAAAGCTCACCATCCAGAAAGTTAAATAACTTTGACTTTTATGGCAGACAAACTGTTGTTAGCTTTATGAGAGCAGCCAAAGGGCTGTGAACCTGACAGAGCTGATACTGTAACCGCATTGAAGCTTCCCCAACAACATGGACGTCAGAGCCCAACCTTCCTGCTAGCTGCTGCAGCTCCACTGAGCCCCCTGCTAAATCCYCCAGGTCCCCATAAGACAAAGCTGCATGCTCTGCTGCGTGTGCAGAATTGACTTTTACCTGGGATTTCCCGTGGAGAGGATGGCCGTGGAGCTCAACAGTTCCTCATACAGATCGGCTCCGGACACAGGAAAGGCTGTGTGCTGGGCCAGCAGCACTCGGCGGATGGCAAACAGAGCCTGAAATACAAAAAACCAGAACAAATGAGGCTCGAACCACTGCAGTACGGATCAGCAGAATCATATTCACMCAGTGTCTCAGAGAGATTTACTGGATTAGGTACATTTCTCTGTAAATTAAGACTATAATCGAAGGGAAAAAGTCTAAATATTGAGTTATGTCATGTACACAGATTTACTTCTGTTTTAATTTTAAACATTAAGCTTGCCTGAAAWGCTGAAAAATTACACTGCTCTCTAAATTCTGTGTTTATATCCCTGATAAACTACATGTTTAGAGGCTTTAATGAATTTTACTTTTGAATGAGAAAAAACTAATGTTTTTATGTAATATTGTTTAGATTAAAGGTGGGACCAAATTGTAGTCGTTCCTCGGTAAGCACTAGTGCTGCAACGAGACAGAAAATTCAAGATTCAGTTCGGTCGATATTTTGTCGATACAAAAAAAGAGAAATGTCCATGCCCTTTTTAATATGTAATTTACTTAAATTAATTATGAACATTTGTTTAACCTCAAAAGTACAGTTTTAAATGAAATGTTGCTGAAACAGCAAGTTTCTCAGTGGATCTGTGCTCCACGGTGCAGCCTAGGTGGAGTAGTCGAACACAGATCCACTGATCCTTCAACACAGAGCATCTTCAGAAGACAAGCAGATAAGATAAATGTTAAAAATCTGTATTGTTTGATACATAGTGTGTGTTGAGCCWAAAGCACTGTGTTGAACGGTTCCATACAGATACATGTAATGTTGCCCCCCTTGCACCCAAATATCCCACTTTAGCCAGAGGAACAACGGATAAAATGACTGGAAAAATATAATAAAAGTTAAAAACTGAACATTCAACTTCAATATAGTTTCTCCCACAGCATCTATAAGTACTCTGAAACCCACGGCTCAAAACAAACATTACTCATCTGAATGGTTGCTCATTTAAGCTTCAGTCGAGGCTCAAAGCGGCATTTTTAAATTAACAGTCACAAAAAAATGTCCAGAAGAAAATACGGTTTTGTTTGCTTAATTATTATAAATGCAAATCCCTAATTATCACTAAGTCAACACTGATCTTGGCAGAGAATGAGCTACACCTCGCCTTCCCTCAGGATAAATTGCTTGTTAGTGGACCACATGAAGTGTCCAGCTGTATTTCTGTCTTAGGAGGGTTTTTTTTATTCCCTCCTCCTTAAAAAAACACAAATAATTTCCACACACTTGGCTGGAACGTCTCACTGATTCAACAAGGACGCGTCTCTCTGTAGCTGCTTGACACTGCGTGGGTAATGCACTCCAGTATCTAAATAAAAAGCTGCTCGGCAAATCAAACATCTTGACTTCTCATTAATTAGGCAGAAAAATGTCGACCGACGCCGACTGCTTGATGCCGCACTGACACGACGGAGACGACGTCACCCGGTAGGCTTTTACACCAACTGATCAGTCAGCTCCGAGACATTTCTGTCTATTTTTAGATGCAACTTAAAGAGGTTAGCTTTCCAGTACATAAAAAAGGTGTAGCTCAATGATTGGTCTGTAGTTTTCAATCAGCTCAGTTGGTTTTGGTTTTAAAGACAATAAAAAAGGTGATTTCTAGAAACAGAATTTAGTAGGATCAAAAAAGAAAGATGAGAGTGAACAAATCTTTTTAATCTCGCTGAACTGTTTCATGTGGGTTTGTCTGAGCTACAGATGAAATCAAAGTCAAATCAGACTTATTTATGTAGCRCATTTAAAAACAACTGCCGCTGGCCAAAGCGCCGCATTAAAACTGAAAAACTGCAATGAGCTGTTTGAAACGCCTAATTTTGTTTTCTAAAAAGAAYATTAAAGCACAACTTATTTTGCAAAAGTAAAACTTAAACAGATCACATGACTGGTGGAGAGGTTTAGTTACAATGCACAGCGCAAAGTTTGGGAAAAACCAGAATATCAGCATGTTAAGATGCACTTTTCTGCAAATAAATCTGCTAAATTAACTCAGTAAGAATGATAAAATGATTGAAACCCTGCCTAAAAAGCTTTACATTGCAGAGAAGGAAAATCAGCAGTTATTAAAGTGGTTTTATATTAATATATATTAGTATTTTTCCTGTCGTTCAACTAACAGGTCAATAAAACATAATTTCTTATCTTCTTTGTAGCTTTATTGTCGTCTAATTGAACCTTAGAAACAATRCAAACGTGCAAAAACCACCAAATAAACCAGCTGATTCTAGAAAAAGCTCCACCAGCTGTTTGGCAGGCTTGTTTTTGATCAACCCATCCTTGTGGACAGGCAGCGTTTCCTGTTAGAATTAAGTCCAACAGCTGATATTTATTTGGGAAAGACGGCAAATCTTTGGGGTCTCAATTAGCGGGAACGCCGGTGCTCCTGTTTGGGAGGTTTCTTCATAAGATAAGTGAGTTTTAGCTGCCTTTTGCAGGTTTAATTAAACTTCAGGCAGCTGTCGTCAGATTAATGCGTCTGTCCAGACAACCCAGCGCTGACCTCGGAGATGCTGCAATTTGTGTGCACAACAAAGGCTGGAATCAGCAGCAGGAGTCTGACGGACCGCTGGGAGTCTGGTTATCAGCTCAGGAGATAGATGCCTGCRGGCTGAATACACAGGGCAGACATTCAGGCTGAACCCTCGGCAGGCAGCGAGGGAGGAAAAAGAAATGTTTGAAAAACACAACGATCCCACGGGGGTGAWGTGTTTGAAGTCACCCTCCACTCTGAAACACATCCCGGTCAGTGTTTCCTCGGCTGGAAGCTCGACTCAAACCATTTCTGCTCAGACATTAAACAGTTTTAAAATGATTGTGATGACAGTGGAGAGGACGCATCAGGTCATCTCGTTTTAAAGATAATCAACATTGAAAAGGGCAAAAAACTAAAATAAAACTAGGATTTTCAAAAACTAGGACATACATACGCTGATTTCTGTTCACTTTTAGAGCCTAATCATAGTGATAAACCTGATTTAATTCACTAGTTAAGAATTTATCAAATAAAACATCTTTTTGCCTGTCAAATTAAAAAAACAGTCTTGCTTCGAGCAGATTTGACAAAAATAAAGCTGCGCCTCCAGCCTGACTGTCCAGCCGGGGTGTTTTAAGGGAAGTGCCGGATCAGAGGATGTTTTCTTTAGATTAGTGGTATTACCGCCTTTAACAGCAAACTTTTTTTCAGAAAATCCAGCAAATCTCTGTGTCAAATACCACTCTGCTTCTCTCCTCACGTGGTTAAAAAAAATAAAAAAATCAAAAAACTGCTCCCAGCCAYGCTGCTGGATTTAACCTTGGAACTAAACCCAGAACTTTAAAGGTGACCACTGACAGGTCGGCTGGACAAGAGGGGAGAGGTCGGGTCAGACAAACTCCAAAACCTGAAAATATCGATCCAACATTTATCTTGCTTTTATCCAGCTACTTTAAACTGAATCGTAACTTAAAACGAATGCTTGAAAAACTCCAATTTTAAATTCAGGCAATAACTGTGACACATTTAGAACCAATGAAGACATTAATAAGATTAAGCTGTAGCTGCAGTTTAAAAAAAACATTTTTACAGAAGATGTAATGTGCAACATTAGCTTGTTTAAGTATACAAACAAAACCCAATGTACTACTTAAAATAACAAAAACTGTGGGGTGTTTCTATTTATTTATTTGAGTAAAAACAAGCTTTTTTTTGTATCCCATCTGAGAAAAAAACAAGCTCAGTGGCACTAAAATCCACATGTTGTATGTGGGAGAGTGTATCTAAATGATCAAAATCCCACTCTATTGTATTTATCCCAGCTAGTATAAATTGTGAGCATTTTTGTTTATATGTTGCTGCAAGAATATTTTAGTTTAAAGAGCCCAATTTGAGGTTGTAGTTGGATTTAGATGTAAAATAATGGGGTAACTGGATCCCTGGGTGCATTTTATTATTATTATTATTATTATTATTATTATTATTATTATTATTATTGTGTAAGTGTACCAACAGATTTATCTGCATCTATTTACAAAACATATTTATATATATATAAAAAAAGGATAATTAGACTTTAGCTAAAACTAGAACTTTTTTAAATTGAAGCAGGTGCTGGTGTAGATTCAGGACATAAACAAAATGACAAATACCTTATAAGACACGGCACATTTCTGTGCCAATTCCTCGGTGTCAGATGAGACCAGGTCCTCCACTGAAACAAGTTAATGTGTTACAATAAGTTTTTTTTAACTAATTAATCAATTCCTCAAATTAAACTAACCTGTTCTAATGTCAGCTGCACGCAAACTCCGCAGCAAATCTTCATCCAGTCCAGGACACATTCCCTCTCGTAGTATCACCATTTTTACATCTCCAGCYGCTTATTTATTAAGACTTTGAAACAAAAACACCGGAGAGCATCCYTAAAAATGGCTAGCTAGCTCCGGTTAGCTAGCGTGTTTTTAGCTCTGCAGCAAACTTAAGCAAACTTCTGCTATGCGGTTAAGACAATAAACAATTTCTTCATGTTTTATTAGGAAGTTAAGCGAGTAAAAATATTTTAACACCAATTAAGAAGACATCWACAAAACTTTGCAAACCTAAATTARAATTTTTAATCGTAAAGCAGCAGGCGCTCGMAAAGCAAGCAACTTCCTGTTGCTTGCCGCAGGTAGCGTCAAATTCCAACGCAATGCCTTATGGGTAATGTAGTTTTTTCTTTAAGGCGTTTTTGCAGATGTTTTATGTTTGTCAGTCAACTTCATGGTTATTTCTAAGCCTTTTATGCATGTTYAATGCATTTTACACAGCAAATAAACAGCTTTTAACAAATATATTTACATACAAGGTTATTTCTGTTCACATTTGACCACCAAATAATCCACATTTTAAAATAAAATAAATCTAATCAACAGAAAACCATAAAATAAGAACATAAGTCATCAAGTGAGCTTGTAGCTTGAATATACAGTTGATGCGGAGTAATTACAAAAAGAAACTTTAGCTCAACGTGTCACAGTTTATTTCTTGCACAAATCTATCCATGCTCTTTTGCAGGAAGAGGAGAGACYGTCGCTGTTACTGTCCTTTACAACAACTCCTGTAATTTTTAACACCAGGAGGTTTCTTTTTCTTATGTAGCTAATTATTTTTCCTAATCTCCATTTCACAGATAGGTGAGTTGTTTAACTTGTTTAAACACTTTGAAATTGCTTATGAATAATAAGTAAAATAGGATTAATTTGATATGATTTCCTCTGGAAGCGATGAGAAATTATGATTCTCTCAGGGCTCAATTAAGAACTCTACAATGCTAATTAATATGCTAATACAATTCTACTCTAATTGCATTAGGTATTTGAGCCAGCGAGAAAGAAAAGAGACCATGTTAATCATTTGACCGTGAATGGATGAGATGTTTTATTTTGTGATTGTGATTTTTGGAACAGTTATATATTTATGCCAAGAAGGTAACAAAATAAGTTAGTGAAGGATCCCGCCCCCCTGAGGAAAAGAAGCCAGTCAGACAGTTTTAGGAGCAGCAGAAAGGAGACGAACAGTCGACAGAGACATGAGGAGGCGATGACACCTGTGCTCCAACTTCACCACAGAGCAGGATGTAAAAATGAACTCCATTAGAAAAATAAATACATATATATTTATATAAAAACCTTCAGATGTTTGCAACATTTGATATAAAAGCAAACACCTGCACGATCTGTCAACACATCAACCTGTTAAAATAATTTAAATAATAACTCCCTCCCATCTGCAGCAAATGGAAGCAACGTTGTCATTTTCTCTTCAGCAAAGCTTGATTTATTTTCCTGTTTTTACAAATATACCTCTGGTGTTTCAGTCATCACTTATGTTCACACATTTGAAAGCTGGGAACAAGTCGAGTCAAAGCTAACAGGTAACTTTCTTAAACAAAAGGCAGCTCTTCAAAAGCAAAATGCCAAATTACATTTTCCTTTCGCAGTTTTCCTGGAAACCGGACGACGTGCAAGAACCAGGCTGTTTTTAGATGTCCGTAAAGCTATTTTACACAAACACAATCAGGTCAAATGGACGGTGCTGCTGGAGGAAAAATTTGAAAGAAAAAAAACGTTTATTTCTTCAACAATTACAGTATTTGTACCAGGATTGGAGTCGAGCTGCTTCCTCTCCACTAAAAGGAGTCAGCTGAGGYGGTTTGGACATCTGGTTAGGACGTCCACTATTAGAGGTTTTTCAGGCTGGGCAGAACCAGAACCCCCTGTACTGTGCACATGGTGAATTTTGTTAAGTCATGTTGTTTGGKGGCTAAACTGAAGATCAGCCCAAACAGTTTCTCTTCAGACCATCTGGCCTGAACGTATGAAAGGTTTAGTATTCACAGCACACCTATGGCCTCTTTCAAAGAACCGCTCTTAATGTCACAACTTAATCTCCAAACTTGATTACCCGTCCCATTCAAAACACACGCAGCAGGTAATAAAAAGAACAAATAGCCAATCTGGTTTTATCTGAAGAGCGACAYGGTCACTTTAAGTCCTGTGGTGATTTATTACATCCAATATATGATGGATGTTTAAAGCATTCTCAGGCAATTCGGCCACTAAAGATGATCTATTTATCAAGCAGGAAGCATTCATTGTCCTGTATTAGTGATCAATAATGAATTCAATTTACAGCAGCATAATAAGAGTGCTGAAGCTTCTCGTTAGGTTCCAGAGTATTACTGAAACACCTGCAGTCCATCACACAGCAGGAGGTGGACTCTTATTGTGAAGTCAGCTCAATCTACTGATGCAACTGGTAACAACCRAAAACCATTCTCAAACCAAACAAGCTTTGGAGTCACCAGTTGATGAAATCAACATGATTTTCCACTTTTCCCTTCTCATCTTCTAACAGAATGATGTGATGCTTTTTGCTAATAGATCAACTTTCTTTATATATTTAAATGAAAGCTGCAACACTTTTATCTAAATGTCAAATGTAAGTAACCAAACCRTTTGCTACATTTTAGTAAAAATGTTAACCAAACCCAGAGCATTGATGTCACCTATGATGCTACATCTCAAATGTATAAAACTAGACCATCAAATGTTTGACTGTAGAAAGATTTGGACTGAAAAAAGCGCRTCTTCTAAAAATGTCCTAAATGGTTTGACAGTTCGGCTGTGGCCTCAGTGGTCCCTCCTCTATAKGCAGAGATGAATCTTTTATGAAGGATGAATTATATAAAAATATCTTCAGTGGTCCGCTGCGACCTTCAGGTGGGGCCACGCTCTCTTCTGTGTTAACTCTTATCTTCGAAACACAACATCATCAATCTCATTTACCACTAAGAGGCTRCATTATTTCCTTTAAATTACAACAAAACCCTGTATCCAACTTTACTCTGTAGTCAACRCAACACTGCGTCAGTCACTAAAAATCAAACCTCAAAAAACTGGATTAAATCAGGTAAAAATACCCAGTTTTGTCGTACTACTCAACTACAGAATGAGAGAGAGAAAACAGAAATCAGTTTACTTTAAGCAGAAGTGCTCCGGACATTAATATTTTAAAAGTTTGCTTTGATTCAAAGYGACTTATCCCTGAATCCTGCTTCATGGCACTCAGTGACAATCCRCCTGCACATCTGACCAATTTTTATAAATGGACTTTCCGGTCATGTTATGTGTAGCTCTTTAAAAGGTAGCATTTAAAATGTTTTTTCAAAGAGACTTTTCAGGTTTAAGAGCTTTAGATTCATATAGGGTTCTGTGTTGGTTTTCATGTCATGTTATGTGCAGCTTGAATTTGCCTTAGGATTAATAAATTATCTGTTTATATTGTTTATCTGAGCTGCACTTCATTCAAACCATGACAGAATTGTGTATAAGTGATATAATTGTATCTTAAAGAATGAGTGCAAAACAAGTCTTTTTTTATCGCATTGTGACAGCTGGAACACTCTCCATTGGAAATTGTTCACACCCAAAACTCATGACCACACCCACCACATTTTGCTC